CCACCCGATTCCCTCCCGTCAGGCTCCTCCACATCCTTTTATTCCCAATTTCACACAACAGCACACAGACTCCTCAGGCCTTCTCCTACAAACAAGAAGTTTTAGAAAGGATGTCATTATCCTCCACCAGATTTTTTTTGTCCTTGTGAAGCTAAAAATTGTGTTATTTTTTATATTTTGTGAATCAAAGAAGCCACTGATGAAAAGGCTCCAGTGTGTGGGCTCCTGGCGTCTCTTTGCTCGCTGATGCAGCAGCTGTCGCTGCCTCTAGACGTGGTGCAAACTCTTAAATCAAACCAGCATGAAAATGTTTTGTCGCTCTGCAGCAAAGAAGAGGCTGACGCTGTCAGAGGAGACGGACCTTGAAGCCACCACGGAGGAGAGCATCGAGTGCGTCTCCTCCTCAGACCTGGAGAGGAACAAAAAGGACGAAGCTCTGGGAGGGAAGGTGGGTGTCGAGGTCAGCTTTCATTGTTTCAGTTCCTCTTACACACACACGTCACGAAGAAGAGGAGTTTTAACCTCAATCCTTAATGCAGAATCACCTCACCAAGTTTAATCATCTGCTTTTATTTTAACTCAAATTTAATGTAACTCACTGAATAAAACCAAACCCAGGAACCAGTGGTGGGCACTAGTCCCCCTAAAGCGCAAAAGCGGACCTAAATTTCTTCTTTGTGCTTTATGGGTTTTACTAATTTATTCAAATGACATGCAGATTTGCACTTTCTAAATTTAAAATTGAGTAGTGCTAATCGCAAATAACATTACAGTTTCAGTCATCAATACGCTCTAAAGAAAAAGGAGAAAACCGTCTAATAGAGACGTGACGTTCGCAAACGATCCAAATCTTTTGAACGGCTCTTTACAACGAATGATAGGAGCCAAATCGCGGGCAGTAACGAACCATTTGTAGTTTTAGTTTGTTTATTCCTCATATAGTCTTAATTTTTTTCATATTTAAATCGCTCCCGCTTTGCTTTTTCATGGAAAACAGGCGGAGTTGTGGAGTACAGAAGCTCACGGTGAGAGGGGGAGGGGGGTTTCCGCTTGACAAAACAAATGGTTCCACCCATGTGACGGGACCTAATTTCCCTCTGGGATCAATAAAGTATTTTTGAATTGAATTGAATTTGAATTACGTTGTTACATACGGCTACGTGATGACATATTTCCCTACGTGATGACGTAATACGTTCAAAATCGAACGGATCTTTTGAATGGCTCTATGAAATAAAGGGCTCCCCAAGATCCGAATCCCTTCAAAGATCCATTTATCCCATCTCTACCATCTAAACTCACTACGTTCTGTAGCAATATACTTCATTAAAGTTTCAGCATCATTTTCTTGARCACTGGAGGGGAAAGCCGTCTCTTCTTAACACAACGGACCCCTGCTGTGTGGAAACAGCGACCCCTCAGACAGCATTGTGTTCAGAGCTTAATACTCTCACTGTCACAGTCTCTTCTGTGTGACGGCTTTCATTTAGTAGAGTTCCCACAATCCTTTCATGGCAGGAAGCAACTGGAGCTGAGGGACAAACAAACAATATCCAGCCATCAGTTTTGTTATTTAAATACTTATGAGCTTTGGGAGGATAGAGGGAGGAATTGTAATATATGTCCCGCTGCATCTTCACCAACTTGCTGTCTCACGTCGTATTGAAGCTCACACGAGACAGTTTAAATTCACACTCTTATTTTGAAATGAACGGGTTCCTGTTCGTCCTGTAGGCTACCCAGAATGCATCACTTTAGTTTTACAATAAACAGTTTAAAATCACTAACATATCTGCAGGTTTTCTTACTGAAGCCCTACCTTAAACATAAGAAAATTACCAAGAAGCAGCAGAACTAGCAATCCACAACTATTTATTTTTTTAACACCATGACTCAAAAATCGGTTTCAACAAATCACCTCCCCAAACTGCAGCAATACAAGCCAGTCTGTGAATGGAAATTACCTTTCCACTAGTTGGCAGTACTGTGATGGACTTGCAACCTGTCCAGGGTGTACCCTGCCCCTCGCACTGTGACTGGTGGATATGGGCACCAGTGACCCACGCGACCCTGAAAAGGAAGAAGCGTGTACAGAAAATGGATGGATGGATGGATGGATAGTTGGCAGTATTGTGCTGYTGACATGTCTCATGGTGTCACTGGAATGTTTTCTGGTGAACATAGACAGATTTGTGCTTAATGTTTAGCTTCTGCTAAGTTATTGTGAGTATATGTGCTTTTGAACTTGCGGACCTAAATAAATTGACTAGAATTTAGAAATTGCGCAACTAAATTTTGAATAAGCCCTGTCCACCACTGCCAGGAACCAAACTTCCTGTAGTCTTCTAAAGTGGGTCAACAACTTTCTGAAGGTTCGCTTTGCTTAAGTTTGTTTTTATTTTGAGCCTTGTGTCAAACATTTTTTCCAGATGAATTTAATTTTTAACATTGAGTCATTTCTCTCTGATTCGTGTGAATCATTCAGACAGGAAACCAGCTGTAACCCTCCTCCTGTTCTCAGCACATCACTGCAGCAAAACCACTCGACTAAAAACACTCAMCATTCAAATGCACTCGACAATAAAAGTTGATTTTTATATTAAAGGTTACATTTTTCAATCATCATCATCCTAAAGTTCTTATTGTGATTTGTTTTCTAAGATGACCTCCAGTGTTTTACTGTTTCTCTACAGTTTTAGTTCAATGAACCTAAACACAGCTCTTAAACTAGAGTCAAATATACTGATGTAAAGTGAAATAAAAATTAAACATTTATTACCGTGTTCACCAGGTAGACAAGCTGCAGAAACTAAAYTAACACGAGTGAAGAACATATTTTTCCACAGTGCATGTGCTTTTTAATCATAGATTTTTTTACCTCCACCAACGGTGAGAGGTAATGTTTTCGGTCGCGTCTGTCTGTCTGTCTGTCTGTCTGTCTGTCTGTCTGTCTGTCTGTCTGTCTGTCTGTCTGTGGACAACATTACTCAAAAACTTATGGACGGATTGTCATTACATTTACAACACATGTGGATACTCACACAAATAACACACCATTAAATTTTGCTGTTGTTCCGGATCACGATGCGGGTACAGGAATTTTTTTTTTCTTTTAATCCTCTCAGATCGGCAAAGCTGTGATGCTTTCACAGGACTTCTGTAAAAAACTGTGACAGCTTTCAGTGTTTGGACTTCAAACTTTATAAAAGTAATGTTAAAACCAGATGTAATGATGAATAATTCTTGCCATAATGTGCGCATGTTTACACATTTGGTGCACATTTAGAGAACGTTTTGTGACCAGAAAGTGTGTGACTGCACCATGAAACCCATTTTTCCCATTTCCTCAAACACACCACATCGTCAGTAGGCTTGTACAAAAATCGATGRAGATTGAGGAAGAGGAGTGATGTGGTGGACTTCAGACTCTGAGGTTGTTTGTTTGTTTGTTCATTTTTCTTAATATTTAAATGAGACCAGATCAAGTTGAGAGCTATTTGTGCTCCACNTCTGTCTGTGGACAACATTACTCAAAAACTTGTGGACGGATTGTCATGACATTTTTACCACATGTGTGTACTGCCTCAAGTAACACACCACTAAATTTTGGTGATGTTCCAGATCACGATGCGGGTACAGGAATTTTTTTTTCTTTTAATCCTCTCAGATCGGCAAAGCTGTGATGCTTTCACAGGGCTTCTGTAAAAAACTGTGACAGATTTCAGTGTTTAGACTTCAAACTTTATAAAAGTAATGTTAAAACCAGACGTAATGATGAATAATTCTTGCCATAATGTGCGCATTTTTACGCATTTGGTGCACATTTAGAGAATGTTTTGTGACCAGGAAGTGCGTGACTGCACCATGAAACCCATTTTTCCCTTTTCCTCAAACACACCACATTGTCGGTAGGCTTGTACAAAAATCGATGGAGATTGAGGAAGAGGAGTGACACGGTGGACTTCAGACTCTGAGGTTGTTTGTTTGTTTGTTCATTTTTCTTAATATTTAAATGAGACCAGATCAAGTTGAGAGCTATTTGTGCTCCACTCTATCCACCTCTCACCAAACTTTGGGGGGAAAATGTGCAGAGCGTGGTTGTGACCACTGAGCGTGGTCCTCACAAAGATAGGAAGACGCGTGTGTGTATGTGTGATTAGACACGCGATGAAAACTGCTTTTTTGAATCCCTTAGCACCGACGYGAAAGCTTTCAACAATAACGTCGGGCCACGAGTCTGACTTTTTTCCTTTTTTTTTTCACATTGGACTCCACCGGGAAGAAATCCTGTGCATACTGCTGCTTAAATGTTCACTACGTCAGAACTTATTCTGCAAATGTGTTTCCATCTCTGCTTTTGTGCATTAACTCTTACAGGATGGGGGAAATTGGACTTGGCGGAGGTTTGCACTCTCTGAGTGCTTCTAGTTTCATTTTAAAAACAGATTTAGACAAACAAAATAAATGGTTTCTATTTTCATTTTATACTTCCTCTGGTTATCTTTAGCTTGAGCTTTTTGACCAAGTGACGTGAGACAGGTTTGTTTGTTTTCTTTTTTCAGACTCAGTCCTGCTGATCATGAACTCAGACTAACACAAGCTGAAAGTTTAGCTCCATAAAACTTCAGTGCAGTTCAGAGTGACTCAACTTTCCTGCAGCTTGTTTGTAGAGAAAATAAATTTAAAGAGCTCCACAAGGTCTCTTTAATATTGATGTATCTTGTGATTTATTGATGAAACCGCAGCACTTCTCTGCTAACACTGTGATGTCTTACAAACCGCTGTCTGTTCTCCAACATTTGACTGAGGCTCGTTTCGTCCCCGAAGCGCCGACTGCTTTGATTCTACAGGAGAGGAAAGTCTTGTAGTCAAAGACGGTTCAGAACTTTTAAAAGGAAGTTCTGTGGACAAAGTTATGGACACATGACATTTGACTTGTTGTAGACAGCCTTTTGGACAAACTCAGTTAACTGAAATATCATTTATTTCTAATAGAACCAACAAATCAATAATAACTTTTTGTCTAATTCAAACCTCTTTAACTCAGATCTTCATCATGTGACTCATTAACTTAAATAACCTGTGAAAGAAAACATCTTTATATTTACAAAAATTGGCATAAAACACACAATTGTACCTATTTTCTCACATAACTGGCATATTTTCTTTTAACTTGGTTCAGCCAAAGTGAAACAGGAAGTGACATCAAAGGGAAACTCTAAGAATAAACTCCCTGGTCTTTGTTTATTGGAACATTATTTGAACTCTGACTCTTCTTCATCTCTCTAATAGAGACTCAAAATAATCTACAGCAGCATGAAATCTTTTTTGCAACATGTTATCAATGTCTTTTCAAAAATGCATTCATATTTATTACAAAAATTTGATGTCAATGTCACTTTAAAGTGCCTGTGATGTCAAATTTTTTGCATTGGTAAAATATTGCAAAATAAATTTTCATGTGGCTGAGATGAACAGTTGTTGAGATGTTTGCCTGTGRAGAAACAGGAAGTGATGTCAAAGGGGAATGTCTGCATGTGAACAGAACATTGGGCCTCATGCAAGAACATGTTCATATTCTTACCCTAAATTTCTCTTACTTTTGTAAGAGTCTGCCACGTCAGATTCAACAAACTCTTCTATCTTCAGGAAAAGTGTGTAAATGAGCTGCGTAAATTACACCTGTTCGTATCCAGCTGCTCGTGCACGCGAGAGGAGATTAGCATAATTACCACCCCAAAAACACCATATAAGGCAATGTTTCCTGCCTCAGATACAAGGAACTGTCCAGAGCTAATACACACACACACACACACA